TGTTTACAGTCTGGTACAAAAAGTGATTTTGGTCTATATAGCTAATTTTGCCCTTCATGACAACTGTGAGGGGGGTGAATTTTTTTATAACTCATCCGTTTAAATTATATTAAGCCTTAAAGTTCTGCATAATTAAGGGCGTGGCCACTTGAGTGACAGGTGGATTGCCGCTGCTGTCACCACCATCGAGCTAGGTGGGCGTGGTTTCAACAACCAGCTCCCGCCTCTTTGCCCATCTTCGATTATCCGGGAGTGACGCGCTGCCAAGATGGCGACGGCCGCCTCCGCCCACTTTTGAGCTTCAAAAACTATCTTCAGAACCCTACGGGTGACGTCACGGACACTACGTCCATGTTTTTATACAGTCTATGTCCCCTACACACATGCACCCCCTCAAAAAGCATAAAATGCCATACATTCCAAAGTGAATCATTTCCTGCTATTCTTATTCAATAATGCAATTGCTTCAGGGACAAAAGTGTTCCAATACCGTTTAGTTCTCCACTTAGGGGCCTTAAACCGACAACAGGAACTGAGAAGCAGGAATTCAGCATATACACAGCAGAAACCCCAGTGTTGAATAATAATGATAATAATAATAATAATAATAAGTTCAATTTATATAGTGCTTTTCCAGAGCTCAAAGCGCTTTACAAATCAATTTATTTTACAAACTGTATACATACAGTATCAAACATAACAGACAATCATGGTATCAGAATCAAATGCATAGTCCAGAGTGAGAAACATACAATTATCTGACAAAAAGTCCTTGCAGCAGGAACACCACAAACACCAGTGGGTTAGCAGGCCGGATAAAACACTGCAACAAGCGGCATAGCGGGTCATACCACCTCTGCACTCCTGCAGGCATCACAAAAATGAATTGTCCAGTTGGAGTCCAATTTAAGTTCAAGATATAAAAACATACACATTAAAAAAAAGACAAAACAGACAAACAGCAGCCAAACGCACACAGCGTACTCACACCGGAAACATGTGAAGTTATCTTGAATTAACTCTCCTCAAGAGTTTATTTGAGTCCACACTCAAGAGTGTTGAAAGTAGCATTGAAGCAGTGTTAAAGTTAATGAGATAATTAAGTGATTAATTGAGTGATGATTGACCATTAGGGAAGACACCTGATTATATCAAGCAAGTCAAGTCACCTTTATTTGTATAGCGCTTTGTACAATACTGATTGTGTCAAAGCAGCTTTACAGTGTCAAAAAGTAAAATAGTTTGTCAGTAATGCAAGATAACAGTTAGAACAATTAGAACAATAACAGAATAATTTTTTTCAGCTAAAGTCAGTTCATTGATGATTCAATGATGTCATCATCCAGTTCAGCTCTCTTCCAATAGTGTCTGTGCAATCAGTCAAGTGTCCCCAAATAAGCAAGCCAAAGGCGACAGTGGGAAGGAACCAAAACTCCATCGGTGACAGAAATGGAGAAAAAACCTTGGGAGAAACTAGGCTCAGTCGGGGGCCAGTTCTCCTCTGGCCAGATGAAACCAGCATGGCGTGGTTCAATTCCAGGCTGCAACACAGGTGCAGAGGACTTGTCTGGTTGCCGTGGTCTTGTGCCGATGGTCGTTGAGGTGATGAGGTCTTCGCAGGGGATCTGTCTCATGGTCTCTGCTGACATTTAGGGCTGTAGAGGTCGTCTCTAGATACTGATCCACCATCTGATCTGGATAAAGACTGGATCCGTATACAGCAGAAGTGTCTGTGCAATCAGTCAAGTGTCCCCAAATAAGCAAGCCAAAGGCGACAGTGGGAAGGAACCAAAACTCCATCGGTGACAGAAATGGAGAAAAAACCTTGGGAGAAACTAGGCTCAGTCGGGGGCCAGTTCTCCTCTGGCCAGATGAAACCAGCATGGCGTGGTTCAATTCCAGGCTGCAACACAGGTGCAGAGGACTTGTCTGGTTGCCGTGGTCTTGTGCCGATGGTCGTTGAGGTGATGAGGTCTTCGCAGGGGATCTGTCTCATGGTCTCTGCTGACATTCGGATTTGAATTATAGAAATGCAATAGTGTATTATGTGTATGCCACGTTAAGAGATGGGTCTTTAATCTAGATTTAAACTGACAGAGTGTGTCTGCAATTCCAGGCTGCAACACAGGTGCAGAGGACTTGTCTGGTTGCCGTGGTCTTGTGCCGATGGTCGTTGAGGTGATGAGGTCTTCGCAGGGGATCTGTCTCATGGGCTCATCTAGTTGATAGAAATGCAATAGTGTATTATGTGTATGCCACGTTAAGAGATGGGTCTTTAATCTAGATTTAAACTGACAGAGTGTGTCTGCCTCCCGAACAACGCTAGGTAGATTGTTCCAGAGTTGGGGCGCTAAATAGGAAAAGGATCTGCCGTACTTCCTGTAATATGGTCATACTTCCTGGTTCTAGTAAGAACTCTAGCTGCTGCATTTTGGACCAGCTGTAGTTTGTTTATTAAGCGTTCAGAGCAACCACCCAATAAAGCATTACAATAATCTAACCTTGAAGTCATGAACGAATGAATTAACGTTTCTGCAGAATCACTGAAGGAAAGAGTCACAATTTTTAAGTCACCATTATGGTGGTCAGTGTCTACGTTAGTTGGGCTCTTGACCCTTGACTGCATTATAACAGCCAAACAGGCCAAGAGAAAAGGTGACCTGAATCGCTGAGCTCACTTAGAGCCTAATCTTAGAGTTAGATTTGGTTTAATTACAGCATTCTAAGATCCAACTTTTTCTATACTATGTAAAGGATTTCTTAAAAGTGGTTCTGATCAAAAAAACTCAACAATGGTGACCATCAAAAAGCATGTTAAAGTGAATTCTCGGAGCCACCAATCAAAACTCATCCGTGGCTCCCATCATGCATCCGTGGCTTGAATAAATTATAAGCTGAATTGTTTTAGTAATTTGTTTTATTCTTACTATTTTCTTTCATTTTTGCTGTTTTTATGTGACTTCCCAGGTAAAAAAAGAAATACACTTAAGTTGTACTAATATGATGCACTTATTACATTTGTTATTATAATATACTAAGTCTAAAATAAATGTTATACTGGAACAAGTTTAAGTATGTTAAGTGCTCTTTAAGGTCTGCTTAAGATCAACTTTAAGCTAATTGCAGTATATTTATTTGTGTTAAAACGGAACAACTTTAAGTATCTTTAGTGTAA